CTTGGACAAAAGCCAGCTAAAATTTTCTGTTATCTTGCATGTTTTATGAATCTATTCACATCTAAATGCAGCACTTTTTTTTTCAATGAGACATTTGTTTTTATACTAAAATATCTGAATTACTTTGAAGAAAGCTGGAAATGATGTCCCTTAAAATAATTAAACAAATAAGGCACCAATGTTTTTGTAAGATATTTACATCTTTTAAGGACATTCGGTAGACTGATTCCCCACTGTTGGTTCAACCCCAAAACCTGTTTGTATTCAAAATTAATTATGACAATGCATATTTATATTGAAACAAACTATGATAAAGGGAATTATATTATATAACAAAGGGCAAGGTCACCAGAGTTCAACTATGTTATAACTTGGACTTTTTCAGTTTCATATTTAATGTAGTTCCCTAAAAATGATATGTTGTGCTTTAAGGGCTACATATGGCTGTCACTGAAAATTGGAAAATTTTGAATATTAGTACAAGTTATCCATGGATGTGTTCACATGAATTTCTATAAAAATGTTCCAAAATGGCCACTTTTTTGGATTATTTTGCATATGTTTTAGACATCCTTCTTTCTCTGTAAAAACTTTAAATAATAACAATTTTTGAATGATTTACTGTGATCAATTTTTTCTAGGTTTTTATGGTAGTGAACTGCCTTAATTCACCAGTAGTGGCAAAGTCATATGCATACACATACTTTGCTGTGTCAATCATTGGAAAATAGATTACAAGATTCTTTGTTTAATAGCGACCTCCTGAAATTTAATCCATATATCTGTTATGTGTTCATTGGTTGTTTTAAATAAACATTTAATGATTAATAAAGACAATCTGAGTAATTAATATAATTATTTTTTTAGACAAGTGAAAAAAACTTTTTATACATATCATATGAGGCTTTCAGCATGCAATGCGTTAATTATTTGAACTACCTTTGAGGTTCAAGCAGAACATATGGAATTGATTCTGGTCAATTATTTTTTAAGTGCTTTTTTTATCATCTTGTAACATTCCATTATTGACATGCTGATTCACAGTACAATGTTTTAAACCTGTTAAAAGTATTTGTGCTGATGTTATTGGTGATCATTGGGAATTCAGCCAGGGTTCTTTGCTATGTAAAGTACCGGTAAGAAACAAATATGGGTATTTGTTTATCCATAGATGGATACACATTCCAGAAATGTGCTAAACATATTAAAAAGATGTGATAAAATAATATATAAATCTATTTACAAGAAGCCCTACTTACTAATGGGGAATTCAGACTGAAACTAAAAAAATCTATTGCAAGTGTATACGATCTTGCAGCACTTATCTAGACTAATAGCCAGAGTCATGAAGAAACAATTAATTCAAATCAAATTAAGCTTTTCAATTTCTGTTTCGAAATATAACTTAAAATATAATCTTTTTTTTTTTTTTTTATTTCAGATTACAAAAAATCTAATTGGACATCATCTTTCATGGTTGATAATATGGGGGAGTATATTTGGTGCCCTCATTGGACTAATAACAGAATTATGTACCACCGTTGTGTAGCCCATTATTGCCATTTTCTATGTTTTTATGAAAATAATTGTTTAAGTCTTATTTTTATCTGTTACTGTAATTTAATTGGTGTATTGATTGCATAATTATCACTACAGACATTGTTCATGTTTATAGTTCCTTCTGTGTTTGAAGTACATGTAGATATAACTGATATATCTATATTTGATATAACATGACATTTGACATGTCAACACACTTATTTACTTGACATGACATGACATTTAAATAGTTATGATGTAAATTTGACATGTTAACACCCTTCATATTTGACATAATGACATTTGACATATAACTATAAATACTTAACTGTAAATGTGCAACTGACTTGTAGAAGAACTCTATAAACTGTTGGCTATCAGTATTTAAATATTGATTGTTGTGTGAGCCCTGCATACTTTAATACAAAATTTCACATGTTAACATGACATTTCCCATGTTAACATAACATTTCACATGCTAAGATGACATTTCACATGTTAACATGACATTTGACATGCTGACATGACCTTTCACATACTAACATGACATTTGACATGCTGACATGACCTTTCACATACTAACATGACATGCTGACATGATATTTGACATGCTGACATGACCTTTCACATGCTAACATGACATGTTACATGTTAACAACACAACATTCTACATGTTACAGCTCACACAAGATCACTGTCAATTGATTTATCAAGTCAAATATATGGCTATTATTTCTATATTGCATGCAATTAACATACCATTTATCATTTTTACAAAGATCCTAATGTATTCATAATTTTTATTAAGGTGGATTGCCAGTAAAGTAACATAACCTGTTGAAAGTTACAAATTGTTGTTGTAGTTGTTTAGAAATATTTGAATTAGACAATCATATATACTCTCAGCACAACAAAAGAATTCCCTTCATTTTTATATTTATAAATTATACGATTCATATTTCAACAAGAGGTTTCTATTGCTCAATTTAATAACCTTGGGACATTTTAAAATGACATCGTTGGTTACTGTGCTCATTGATTACAATTTATAAATATCTATAAAAATGTAGGGAATGCCTTCGTTTTGCAGAGTACCAGTATACTACTTAAAGTAGATATTACATGCTTGAGTGGAAGCAAATGTAGAAATTGAAACTATTCTTATAGCCAAAATATTTGACACGTAAGGTGTTAGTACACTCGCTAAATTTACTCACAGTAAGTTAAATCTTGAAATATAAAATCCATTTTCTCCAGATTATACGTCAGTTATTTCCACTAAGATGCTCAAATATAGATAGCAAATTACACGATTTTCAATGTATTCCTGTTTTCTGTACAATGGGCAAGGCTGATATATTTGTGTTATGTTTATTTTACTGAGATTTATACAAGTTTATTTTCGTATTTTTAATGCAAGTACTTCTGGTATATCAGAATTCTCTCCATACGTGGTAATTAAAGTTACAATTCAAGATCATTTATTATAGCTTTCTTGGCCTTAGGAATATAGCTTGAAATATTTAAGTTTGAAACTGCCTGGATTGCAGGAAATATTCAGAACAGAATTCTTTCTGAATCTATGCACATCAAACACTAGTCAAAATTGTGAGAAAATGAGTATTTGATACATATTTCCAACAATTCGTGCAAATTCAAGCCATCAGATATTTCAAACCATAGTTCTAAGACTTCTATTGATCTGATGGAATGACCTCAAAATGAAACTTTAATCATCCAATATATTGTTATGCAATCTAGTGCATTGTTTAAGTTATCTTATTATATTTAATAATTTTTAACAGCATGTTTTATATAAGTGGTCATGTGACAGTATTTATAAAATATCTGTACTACCAATATATATATTAGGGTAGATGTTTGTTCAAATATTGTGACAGAGAAAAGGCTGTATAATATAATTTATATTAGATATCAATATCTTACACACACTTTTATGAACTTAAAGTTCATATTATCTTTTCCTAAACCTAAGCTGACAAAGCCGTTCAAATTACCTTAGAGATATTGACAAGTTTTCAATAAATTAGTTTTCAGCTAGCCAAGAACTGTCTTTCTTTGGTTAAAAAATGAGTTTGCAAAGAAAAATGCAACTGTTATGTTTTGTTCGAGTTTTCACTTTACTATAGGTAACTATTGTGCAATATGTACTGTAGTCATCCAGCATTAGAAGCATCAACACTGCCATTGCCACAATAACTACCAGTAATGAGTCTTCAGAAGAGTAGTGAATTTATGATGGTTGTGAATTTTCCTATGCCCAAATTTTATTTCATATTCTTCGATTATCAAATGTAAAAATTTGAATTCTATGGTTAGTGTACCTTCAAATGGATATGATTATACATGTTCTTTTGGTGAGACGTCTAAGCCCTTATTCATCTGCCCTTTGTTTCATTTTCACTTTTATGTCTAATTTCTGTCACTATGCATTGTAATAAACATGTTTTATATTTTTCCCATCCTTTGCTGAATTCTATTATTGAGGTGTCTTAGTGGCAATTCCCTCTTTATGACCAAAATCGAGTTTTCATATTAATGTCGTAAAAAAAAAAATAGGGCAATTGCCTGTTGCTCAACGGCTATTGTACAAAAGATTAGTGCTGTATATGACAAATACCCCAAAAGGCGGTGAGTGAAACAATATAACATAATGCTAAAAGTGGAATTTTTTACAAAAATAACAAATATTCAATCAAATTAGAATCAAAGAGAGCTTAAAAAGAACTCCAGCGTGTTGAGAGAATAACATAACATGATATTTGCAATTCTCTGAATTCGTAATACATGTATATACCAAGTTTTGTTGAAATATGTTGAATGGTTCTTGAAATAGCACCCAAATAGCTTGAATTTCACTAGCTGATATGCAAA